AATATACAAAATATTCAGTTTCGATTCCTTTAGTTAGAGTAAACCAGCACAACAAACTACTTTTATTGTAACATAGCATCATAAGATAAAGTGTTTACAACCCAACAAGCTAACTGCGCACCTCGAGCTCGCCCCGTCCGTACCATGCGGCGACGTGACGTCACGGCCATAGCTGGGCATTAACTCGTTAATCCGTTAATCGTTAATTAACGAAGTTAACATTTCTATTAACGGATTAACTTTTAAGTTAACTTTAAAAATTGTTAACGGACTCGTTAACTTCCGTTAAATTATCCTAAGTCCGTTAATCGTTAATCCAGTACCTACTATTTACCAAAAAGATACAGCAGGCACGCTGAAAAACACTAGAAAAACGCGTTCTGACAAGTACGTTCGGGCTTCCAGAACTTCCAGAACCTAAAACAACAGTCTTTGTAACCACAACGAAACGATATAAGAAAAGGTATTTTTTTATTTATTTACAAGCTTTAATTGACTTCACTTGTTAGTATGAAATGTGTGGGACAAATCTTGCAACTGAATTTAAGACCAGTTCTCAACCGATTGAGCTGAAATTTGGTATACTTATGTAAGTTCGATGAAAATGCAATGTTATGGTACCATTAAGCTGGTCTGATGATGGAGTCAGGAGGTGGCCATAGGAACTCCTAAATGAAACGGCGGCATCGCATGCACTTTTGTACTAGATGATGTCCAGGGTCCTGATGATGGAGTCAGGCAGGAGGTGGCCATAAGAATTCCTAAACGAAACTTATCGAGTTTGGGTTTGTTGGATTTGTCTTTTTGATGAACCAAGGCACTGAGATTGAGATACTATAGACTAAGAGCTGGTGAACGCTAGACCTACGTCATTATAAAAAAGCTGAAAGTTTGTCAGCGTATGCTCCCAATATAGGTTAGAATGTTGGTGGATTATGAAGTTTGGGTCATCGTTGCTTTGGCAGCTATCCTAAAAAAACTGTCTGGCAAGGAGTTGGAACTGTCAAAACTGTGTGGCTGATGTCGGACCAACTTCTAATCAGATTTTATACTTAACACATGATAATAAAACGAAAAAAGCAATTGTATGCAAGGCTCAAATAATTTCGAAAGCTTGTATCGCGCACGGAATTTATTCCTCTTTTATGTTTGCGCTACGTGCTACAAGCTTTCGAAATTATTTGAACCCTGCATACAATCACTTCTTTTGTTTTATTATTATGTGTTAACGGATTAACGATTAACGTTAACTTGCGTTAAATCTTGCTAAATGTAACGTTTTAACGTTTAACGAAGTTAATTTTTTTATTAACGGTTTAACGATTAACGAAGTTAACTATTTGATTAACGGTGCCCAGCTATGGTCACGGCCGCCAGGTGCGCAGTTAACTCGACCGGGTTATAGCTTGATGCGCTGTCGTTATTTATAGAGGCTTATAAATATTTGAAGACGGCAAATTACACTATACATATTTATTGCTATACAGCACACGCTAACGTGAATACATCTTTATACTAAGACCTTACATTATATTGCAAATTACGTTAAAATTATTATACACGTTCTTTAAATAATATGATGCAAAAAAGCAGTTAAAATCAGTCTTCAGTAACTTATCTTAATACATAAATATTTTAATTTTAAAGAGTGGAAAAATGTTGTAAATGGTAAAATGATAATAAAATTGTAATCCATACTTTACTATAAATGCAAGAATAAATTTTACATGCGGTAACAATAAATAGGATTTCAGGGACATACTCTGTACATAATTATGTACAGTCGCGGAATGAAAAGGTTCGTCACCTTAGTGTCGGTTTTCGCTTGCACTAGGTACTGTAAGAGTCAAACCTGCCAACATAACAGTGCAGCAGTGCAAGAAACAGTGCTGCTAACATTTAAATAAATATGACGTTTGCTAACGAATAAGGTTTTGCTTGTATAATTTTCTATCCCATCCAGTGCAATGCTTGGACGAATAAACCACTGGACGCGTAACGAGTGACGTTTTCGTCTTTACCCCGCTAGCACTTACCAAGGCTAAATTAGCCATGGTAAATGTTGTCAGGTTGTCACTTTGTNAATAACTGTCAACTATGTAATTACTATAAGAGCTAGTTGAAAGCCTAATATAGGCATTATTTTTGATAAACATAGGCGGTACGAATTTCGCCATAATTAAAAAGTTAATGCGCGATAGTAGTTAATAATAACACAGCTCAACAAAAAAAAAAATTTTTTGTTGCCCTGGTTATTTCTTCGGATTTATATACTTTGAAGCATACAATTTACGAATGTATTAACGAAAGTACTGAATTGGCTCTAGTTTTTATGATATTAATGTTTAAGTGATAAACAATTTATATGGGCTCTTTGAAACATGCGTTGTTAATAAGTGACCAGGAACCTGGACTAAATTAGTTTTTCTGCTCAATTTCAAACGTAATGGGACCGGATTCTATCAGTAACAATGATATTACGATAAAATAATGTCATTACCACTGACAATGTGGTGGCTGGAATCAAGGAATGGCGGTTATAGTGCGACAAGGCTATTTGTATGTGGGGAGATTTAGAATGTCATTACCGCAGGAAGTAATGACAGTAATATTGATGTCATTACTTGTCATATTGTCTGGACGCCTTAGATTTTTACTTCGCATTACACTTATACGTCTAATACCCATTTTGTATGTAATATAGAACTATAGGGCAAAGAAAATTCACTGGAAACAAGATGTGTGGGCAAATTCGAATATACATGCACAAACTTGGCATGCAGATACCTTAGTAAACTTAAAGCTTAGTTGCAACAGGATATTGCAAAATTCCCACGGGAACGGGAGTTAGCGGAAAATAACATTTGTATGAAAAAATCTAAACTGCGTAAGATAGACTCTTGAAATTTGACATGAAGGTACCTTAGTAAACTTAAAGCTTAGTTACAACAGGATATTGCAAAATTCCCACGGGAGGGAGTTCGCGGGAAAAAACATTTGTATGAAAAAATCTAAACCGCGTAAGATAGACGCTTGAAATTTGGCATGCAGGTACCTTAGTAAACTTAAAGCTTAGTTNCCTCACCGAGTAAACGTGCGTTTTTGAAAGTCATAAAACGAGTTTATTAAGAGCGTTTACGCCGTTTGGCGCAAAAACAGTACTTTTTCAACTCGTTACAATCATTAACCAGTAATACTACAAATATGTTATAGGCATAAAATATAGTTAGGCAATTTCGTCGTCTAAATAGTTAATTGAGAAAATATTGCGATTAGTTTAGTATTCAAGAATTCTATCAAGATAAGTCCACACAGGTTTTGTAAATTTCCACTTTAGCGTCAGTTTACAAGCTGAAATTTTTATAAAAATACTGTGAAAACGATTTAACAAACATTTATATCCTATAGCATAGATTCTTGGGCAAATAGTTATCTGAGAAAATTTTTAGATTTAAGCATTTTACAATAAGAAATCACAAATTAAAANTCATTATTTGACAATTGTCAAACCTCTCCCCCCGCAAAAAGTGGTTGATCGTGTTTCCTTAGAAATCTTGTAGGTTTCGTGTCCAGTGGTTTATTCGTCCAAGGTGCAATGCAATGATGACATTGACCAATTGACAATAGTTTTTTTTATTTAATAGGAATAATAATGGCAGGTTGAACCAACAAAAAGGTTTTACTTTATCAATCATAATAATCTTCTTGACAAGATAAATCGTCAAACAACTTTGATCTGAATAATTTTGAACTTTACTGACGAACAGTTAAAGATTATTTTCTCTAACTCGAGATTATTCTGTAACATAGTTTCAAAAGGTAATATGTGCTCGCGATTCGTTGAAGGAATCAATTTGAAAACTGACGAACCTTTTCATTCCGTGACTGTACATTGCCCTGTTGCAAAAAATATATTTTATTGGAGTAGTTTTTCACCTAATTAATAATTGGATAAATTTTGAAGTAGGGTGGCAGTATTTTACTCACTAATAACCCATAATAGGCTTTAGAATAATATTATTATCAACCCACCAAAGGGGCAACTTGCATGGTTTTTTAACGTTTTTAGTTTACATTCGTGCTATGGATGAAAATACTTTTGAATCAGCTAGGCTTAGTATTCATCTAATAATAATAAAAAAATCAGGCACGTAACTTGACTACTCACGCCACAATCACCAAAAAAGTGCCTAAGCACTGAAATTTAAAACAATCATAACTCGAAAACTATCAACAATCACGCAACATACATGATAGCGCTACTATTAAATTGTTCCAGAAGATGACATCATAATTCATTTAATCCAAGTTGTTGTGTTCATGTTGATTCTCAATTTATTTAATTACACTTTTAACATGCTACAAGTGCATTTTATGTTTTTTTTTTAAAGCTTCCTAATGTGTGTTTAATTATTGATTTATTTAATCATAGTTTAAAATTAAATATTATTAAAATTATTTCTTCGCTCGAATCGCTATTTTGATAACGCAAGGGAAACGGAAGTAAGTACAAGGTGCACTATTCAATCATTATAAAATTACAAATCAATTATTTAATTGTTTTAAATATACTCAGTGATATTATAAAATATTTTCATTGTATAATGTGTTACTTTAGTATTTTTATTCGTAAGTAATTTGATTTTATTTCAAAGTGATTTCATAATGTTTTAAAAAGTTGCAAATGTATTAATTAAATATAAAAAGTAGATTTAATATTAAGTTAAAATATTTTAACAATGTTTTAAAATAATTATTCATTTGTATGCAGTGTGATTGTTATCAATTTATTATTTTTTAAAATGGTGCTTTGGCTCGGATGTTACGTCACTTGGTTGCGTCAGTCGGAGTAGTAGTGGGTGGCGCAGATCGGTGTGACGGGGCATTCAGTGTTAAACCACCGTTGAGTGAACAACTCAAATAAAGTGGTGTTATATTACGTCTGAGTTTTAATCATCACCAATTCACAATGGACCCCTCAACATACATGGGGGTGATTTGGATAGCCCTAATGATGCTCTATCTCTGGGCTTCGGCTTGACACTACTTTTAGGGACACCCTGTATACCATAACCATGATTAATACTGAATAGTAGTACACAAAGCGCTAGGCGAGTATTGCAAGATGGCGACCGGTCGATACGCGTCCATGTTAGGCGGCTCCAATATCACTTCTGGAGGCTTCTCCTCTTTCCGCTTCTTGCAGATTGGGTATCTCTTGGATTTGATGTTTAAATGCACCTGTAACAAAAATTTAGAGATATTTTGAGAAATCATCATCGTTTCATCTATAGGTCTGTGACTGATTGAGTGACTGACTGACTCACTCATCACGAAATCTCAGTAACTACAAGTGCTAGGAGTCACAAATTTTGCATGGGGGTTCCTTTTAGAACGTAAGTGCTCACTATAAAGGGTGGAATTTTGTAATGACACCTGGAGGGAAAGTGCTCTTAATACTATGTATGTAGAAAATTCTACTCAAATAAAACATTCCTATATTTTTGAAAAGAAATATAAACTGCATTCAAAGAGTTCCAAAAATTAGCTTGCCACACCTGGAAATCGAACCAACTAAAATTTGTTATCACACCATGTATTTTTATTGCATCGATCGTTAGGGTTAAATAAAAGCATCATAAGCTCTGTGGTTGGTTCGTGTGTCACCCGGTGCGTCCACGCGCACTGTGAGACTTTATAAAGCCTGGTCCGTGAGCACGTAGAATCCCGTCCAATGACCCCAAGCTACCCATCCTTATCGCTCGCGCGTTTATTATATTGCTGTCGCGACTGTGCGACGGGCGCCCGCAGTGAGTGTGCGAGCGCGACAGCAACATAATTACATGCGAGCGACAAGGATGGGCAGCTTGGGGTCATTGGACGGGATTCTACGTGCTCACGGACCAGGCTTTAGTAAGGTTTGAATACGGGCGTAAGAGTACTTTCAATCCAGGTGGCCAGGGATGGCGAACCTTTAAGTTTGAACGTGCCACTATTTAAAAAAAAATTGAAGTAGTCATAGACACGTGCCATTAAATTAACACCTAATGCTATCAAGTGGCACCACTGGTGAGTGACACGACCTTACTCTACAGTGGCACTAACTGATGAAGGCAAATACGATAGCTCATAATCAAAACACATTATTTACTATTGAATTACTGAATTTGTGATTGGTGGCGTGCCCAAAATATTATGTCGCGTGCCATCATTGGCACGCGTGCCATTGGTTCGCCAACCCTGCAGGTGGCATTACAACATTCCACCTTGTATACCTCGATTCTCACCTGTCGGTTATGCTTGTAGAGGTTGGACTGCTGTGAGAAGGTGGTCGGGCAATACTCGCAGATGAACGGTCGTTCGCCCGTGTGCGTTCGTATGTGCGAGTCGAGTTGCATTTTAGTCTGAGATATAACAATACAATATTTTTATTTATTTATTTATTTATTTTATTTATTTAATAGGACAACCAACAAGACAAACACTGGAAGACAATCAATATTTACAACGTATTTAACTTAATCTAAGTGCTGCCTTAATTATAGGTTGCCACGGCATGCAATAGTGGACTTATACATAAACAGTGTCTACGCTTAAAGAAAAGAGTTTCTTCAGCGAGTATTATTTAGCTGGAATAACATTTCGCCAGCGACTCGATGCGAAGCTGTTTAGGATTTTGCGCTTAAATGAAGGTAGCTTGTCCCGAAAGACATCTAGATCAAGATCGAGGTTCCTTGATATACTGTTAAACTGTCTTTGGAGTCTGTTCATGGTGGCGTAGTGACCTAAATTGCTTTTGCAGCCTTTAATATAAAACGGAACATACCTAGCGCGACGTGCCAATTTAAAGGGAACATTGAGATTTATTAATTCTAGCAAAAATGGGCAGTCCGCAATACCATTAATGATTTTATAAAGGAATACCAGGTCAAGCAAAAGCCTGCGGTTATTTGAGTCTAAAATATCTCAAGTATCCCTTATGTGGTTATTATCGTTGAAAGTTGAATATCATTTGGATTGTCGGCCGTTTGAAGTCAAAGTCAAAGTCAAAATTTCTTTATTTGTTTAGACTAATAAATAGTTCTTACAAATCGTCATTTTGCTCTTAAGGAGCCTCTACATGTCTCATAATCTTTTTACCCTACCAGCGCTTCGAGACCAACATTTGGCAAGTGCTGAGAAGAAGCGCCGCAACAAACTCAGTCACCACTGTCTGCCGGTTAATATAAATAAATATAAATAGTAGTAGTAGGTACATTCGATTCAGGAGCAGTTCACTGAATTTACCATGCATTCTTGTATGGTGTATCTTATAAGAATGGGTATACAAGATTGCGTGGTATATTAAACAAGGTAGTGACGTGCTAATATCTAGACTTACATATTAAGATACTAGTAGAAATGACTCGCATACATAAATTTGAATAACTTGGATTGACCAGTCCCCGAAAGCAGCGCCTGTTCACAGACATGACGAGTGAACCAGCCATCGCTTCACTCGACCATATTAGAGGGAATGTAACGACCCGCCTCACTACGCCACCACCCCAGAGACATTTTAGTGAGAATGACAATTCCAAGTTATCTCTTAAAAAAAAACTAATAATAAAGCTAAGTAACAGTCCAGATTGAGAAGCATGACACTATAACATTTGAGAAATTATTATTAGTTTATACATTACTTTCCATTTTAATTATTTTTAGTGCGAGCATGAGAGGACCATAATCCTACTCCCAGGATGACTTATCATTAAGAAAATCTCGAGTTGTATAATAGGCTTTTTTAAGCATGTGATCTTTAACTATACCTTTAAATTTATTATACGGTAGCTCTTTATATTTATCAGGGACTTTGTTATAAAAATGGATACCTTGTCCCATAAAAGTGGCAAACACTTTATTAAGTCTAAAAGCGGGTATAGCCAATTTATTTTTATTTCTAGTGTTAATTTGGTGAATATCACTTTTCTTTTTGAATTCATTAATATTTTGTTGAATAAATAGAATACAGTTTAAGATGTATTGTGAAGCGGCCGTGAGAATGCCAATTTCTTTAAACAATTCTCTAAGGGACGCTCTTGCTTTCATTTTATACAAGTATCTTATCGCACGTTTTTGCAAAATAAATATTGTTTCAAAATCTGCAGCTTTGCCCCATAGTTTTTGCGTTTGGTGTAGTGGTTTCGATACGGACTACTATGCCGAGAGGTCCCGGGTTCGATTCCCGGCCGGGCAGAAATTGAAATAATGAATTTTAATTTCTGTGATGGGTCTGGGTGTTACTATGTATAATATGTATGTATTTACAAAAAAAAAGTATTTAAGTATGTCTATATCCGTTGCATCTAGTACCCATAGTACAATGATATTTATTATTATTATCAAACTAAATTATTTACAAATAACTTGAAAGAATCGAACTGCCTAAGGTGGGAATCGAACCCACGATTGAAAATTTCGACTGGTTCATCCAGTGTCTAAGTAGCTCAGATGGAAGAGCAGTCGCCCGGCAATCGAAAGGTCGTGGATTCGATTCCCGCCTTAGGCAATTCGATTTTTCAAATGATATCTGGTGAAACAAAATAGGTTTTCTTGTGGTCATGAAGATAATAATATCACCAAAAAAGAAGACGCGGTACAGTCAGCTTCAAATAGTTTATGACACCTCTTTGTTATTGTTACAATAGTANTATTATTATTATTAACGGCCGGTATCATAAAACTTCCAGATTATAATCAAGAGGTTTAACATCCAAAATGTCAATGATATAACAAGTAAATCTATTCCCATTCCCAGGACCACGAATGGATAACGAACTCCGGGCAGGAGCCGCTGCCGTCGGAGCAGGAGAACTGTCGGCTCGTGGAAGTCACGGACGAGGACATGGCGCAGGTCGTCACCTCCATCCCCAACCTCTCCACGCTCATACTCATCAAGACCATGCTCAAGAAACACAGCTTCCAGGTACGTTTATTCACACTCCTTTAATCACTTTAGAAAATTAAATAGTCCACACGATAGAGGTATTCGTGTGATATTATTGAATTTATTGACACTGATATCCATGAAGTAGATAAATTGATACAACTATCACAACAAATTAATTACCTAAGACATAATTACCCCAAACTAAGCAGAGCTTTTACCATATCGCCGGATATAAATGATCGTGCTCATAACGAGTGCTGGATTGAAATACGCTACCGCCTCCTATCTCCTTCAATGGCCATTAATTTTCTCTTCTCAATCTCACAAATGGGACCATTCCCACCTTTTGTTCCCACTGCAGCAACTCCTGTATATCCAGGATCTACTGTTTGACTTGAATAAGAACCCAACCAGTGGCGGTCCAATTAGTCTCACCAAGTGAATTTGTGATCATGCGGGACTGTTCCCACCCCTCCTTTTCACCACTGCAACTCCAGGATTTTAGATCCCCGGTCTAGGTCCTAGGACTTGGCCGTCAATAAAAACCCAACCAGTAAATTTTAATCATCGTCCTCTTGCCTCCAGAACCCGTTCCTCCGAAGCCGAGAGGGCAGCACAGCACGGCGGGAGTCAGGCAGCGGGCGCGGCGAGCTTGAGAAGTGCGCAGCGAGGCGTGGCCAGCTCGCCAGGGCGGGCAGGTCGCTGTCAGCGCCGGGGAACTACCTCACTGACAGGTCAGTAGCAAGTCCAGTAGTTATAGAGGTGGATCTGAGTTAGAAATGGCACAATAGCTGGTCAGAAAGAGCAGGACCCTGTCAGTAAAGTATACTAACAGATCAGTAGCAAGGTCTGGTTAGAGGTTAGAATTAGAACTGATTTCATCCGTTTTTGGTAACGATACTAGAGTGGAGTATACTCCGCCAAGAAGTAAGTATGGTTTCTGACAGATAGTCTATGTAGTCAAATGATAAATATTTCTTTGTGATCTTACGGTTTAGGATTTGTACTATTTTTTAAACTATCTTCTTATATCAAGTAGGATATTTGACCTTGTTGAGAGGCATTGCCTATCAGGAATGATTTGTATCCTGCTAGATATTGTTTAGAAATTGCGTCAGTGTAACTATTGTCACTTCACGTGAGTCTTGCGTAGCATGTGCTACAGAAAAGACAATGCNGACAGACAGACAGACAGACAGACAGAGTTACTTTCGCATTTATAATATTAGTTGGGATAGTTGGGATAGCGCTTGAAGTCAGTCAGTGCTTGGGGTATGGAAGCGGCACGGGAGGGGTGTCATTGACATATTATTATGACGTAACAGAGCATACAAATGTGAAGGAGATCCAAAGTCTCGTTAACGTTTGACGTCACAAAAACACCCTCCCGTGCCGCTCCTATACCTCAAGTTATGCACTAAAGCCTGGTCCGTGAGCACGTAGAATTTTGTCCAATGACCCCAAGCTACCCATCCTTATCGCTCGCGCGTAATTATGTTGCTGTCGCGACTGTGCGACGGGCGCCCGCAGTGAGTGTGCGAGCGCGACAGCAACATAATTACGCGCGAGCGATAAGGATGGGTAGCTAGGGGTCATTGGACAAAATTCTACGTGCTCACGGACCAGGCTTTAGGCCTGTATTCTTTATCATTTTAGCAGGCAAAGCCTTACCTTAAGGCAGATGTGGCAGGAATACGTTTTTTGCAGGTGTTTCTCTTCAATGTGATCCCTCAATTTTGTCTTGTCGGCGAACCGGCGGCTGCAGTGGTCACAGATGAATCTGTCGAAAGACATTTTATTTAGGGCTGATTTTTCAATCGTCGCATAACTTTTAACTATAGTCTTTCCAATATAGCTTGATTAGAATGACAGCTTTCAAACGAATGTGAGTAGTGCTGGGTATGTTTCGTACGGTTCACATAGATGTATCGATAAGTTTTCGAAAAAATGATATAAAAAAATGCACCCAATTTTTCTTCATATCTTTATTCATAAAAATGACAATTAAAATCTATATTTAAAGACAGTAAAATTTAAAATGTATGTCAAGAGTGTACAACCGAAGTCGTAGTCATCATCATCAGTGTTCTTCAGTGGTTTTTTCCTCTCGCTAGAGGGCGGTGGACATCTCTTCTAGAGCAACGGTGCTATGAATACCTAAAAAATTACCTGTGATTGATTTCCGATGTTTGCTTATTTAAGAATGAAATGTTTTTTGGTTTTTAATAGTGAACATTTAGAAAAACGTATAACTTGAGTTAAATTTGTTAAAAAATTAGTTAGAAAAAAAAAAGTTAAATATGTTAAAAAATTAGTTTTAATTTTAATATGACATTTGTCGATATGTCCCATCACTAACATTTTTGTAACTCGAGATAACCTTGTAGAGACGTCGTTAATAATCTAGCTTGATTTTTATGTTTTCGAATTACTACTTATTGGTGTAATTTAACGCTGCATTTACACGAAATTAACATTTTTATTGGAAGCACTGTCGTCGAAAATATTGTTTGTACGTGAATTATTTCACGTCTGCCAATATTTAGCTCTCATTGATCGCTACTACAAAGTTATGTCGTTACTTTTGATGGCAGCTGTCATTCTAATCAAGCTATATCGGATAGACTATAAAGAATAAAATTGTCATTTTGACATATTTCCCATACTGAAACTATCAATGTGCCAAACTTATTCTTCAGTTAAAAGTTAACCGGCGATTGAAAAAAATCAGCCCTTACTAAAAAAACATAACCCTCCTTCTGGCGCACGCCGGTAGGAGGGTTATGTTTATGTTTACGGTTTTTTGCATCTATTTAACAGTTCGTTAGCATTCATTAGCACGTTGAAAATTTGCACTCTCGAGATTTTTTATAGATTTTACATGAGTGAAATCGTAATGTTTATGAGAAATAGTGCTTCGGAAACGTGGTGATTGGCTCAGTGATTGTTTTATAATACCAAACAGTGAAATAATCCTGACACACACAAATGACATCCAGTGACATCCTAAAATTGTCTATAGATGACCCACGCTGAACTGTCCCACCAAACTCAATGACAGGGGGGCGCTACCATCGTTCAACTATATGGTTTCCAACATGGCAAAAATCGGAACCAGCGATCCGGTATTGACGGTGGCGCCCCGCTGTCAATGTCATGGATAGGACAGTTCAGTATATTGGAACTATATTTCGAAGGAATATTAAAAAGGCGTTTGTAAATGGGCGGTTCTTTTTTAGACCACGCCCACTGTCCGTGTCCACTTACTTGAGTTGGTCATGCGTGACGTGCTTGAGACTGTTCTTGAGATGGCGCTGATACGAGCTCAGCGATGAGAAACCGATGCCACAGGTGGTACAACGAGCTACGTCGGTCTGCACTTTATCCTGGACAAGAGAGGTAGAATCTACAGTGAAACGGTATAACGTAAGTAGAATTGTCTATTGAATATACAGAAAAAGCCACCGTACAAGTTAGGCTTACGTAATACCATTAAAGCTGATTTTTATATAAAACTAGCTGACCCGGCGAACTTTGTTCCGCCTTAATGGCAATAAATAAGCAGACTTTTTTTTTTAATTTCGAACGGGATAAAAAGTATCCTATGTCCTTCTCCTGGCTCTAAACTACCTCCCTGACAATTTTCAGCTAAATCGGTTCAGCCGTTCTTGAGTAATAAATGGAGTAACTAACACGACTTTCTTTTATATATATGTATAGATATTAGGGCAATAATTAGAAGTAGTTTCCTCATCAGCCAGACAGTTTTGACAGTTCCAACTCCTTGCCAGACAGTTTTTTTAGGATAGCTGCCAAAGCCACGATGACCCAAACTTCATAATTCACCAACATTCTATCCTATATTGGGAGCATACGATGACAAACTTTCAGCTTTTATAAAATGACGTACGTAGTCTAATAGCTAAACAATAAACTTCTAAACGGAGCATTTGATTGCTATTTTTATTTTACCCAACTACCCAAAAAAGGAGAGTAATAATTTTATAGTTTATCGTCGAATAGGATTATAGATATCATATCTCACCTGGTGTTTCTCCAGATGTCGTTTCAGACTGTTCTTCCATCGGAAGACTTTGTCGCACAGATTACAAGGGAACTTATTGCTCAGCTCGTGCACCGATCTGTAATAAAAAATCCAGTATTTAGTCATTTATTTGAATACGAGCTGCCCCAGCGAACTTCGTACCGCCAATAAAAAGTTGTCAATCACAATATTAATTTCTGTACGTATCCCGTTTTTTATATGCATGACAAGACAGGTATTTAACCGCAACCGCACCTGGTGTTAAGTGATAAGTGGTAGGATGGTACATATCTGCCCTTTAAGTGCCTATTCACCTATAAGGCTGCGTTTCCACTAGAAATGTGCGAGGCTGCGTAGCGAGGGATGTGTTTGTAAAGAACGAAGAGGCGAGGTAAATTAAGCGATTTTATCGGTGCATCTCTGGTGGAAAACGGCGGAGGAAATACCTAATTTATATAAACAATTTTGAAATTTCGAAGTTTTTTTTGAAAGACTATTTATTTTATGGGTGAAAGAATTTTTCAAATCGGTCCAGTAGTTTCGGAGCCTATTCTACACAAACAAACAATCGAATCTTTTCTCTTTAATATTAGTGTGGTTTTATTTGTACTCACAACCGATGGTTGAGCAGGCCGGCCCTGTGCGTGAATGTCTTGTCACACTCCGGGCACTGAACCCGGGCCTTGTGCGTGTCCTTATGATACCGGTGCGCGTCTATTGAGCTGGAACAACAATACAGTGTGGCATATGAAAATAGGTGAAACTAGCTAGAGCCCGGTCTGTGAGCACGTAGAATTTTGTCCAATGACCCCAAGCTACCCATTAGTACCCATCCTTATTGTTCGCGCGTAATTGCTTGGGGTCATTGGACAAAATTCTACGTGCTCGCAGACCAGACTATAGACCTATTTTTATCGACAGAAAGAAGGTCAAAAAATATCTGAGATTATTGAAAAAAAAAATGTATTATTTATTTTTCTTTCGATTACTTATTGTAAAGAAAACGTAATAACTTTTAAACTAAGAGGTATATCCTTATAAAATAAAAACAGTAATAATGCTAAATAACAGGCGATAACAATATAATACATAAAATACCCAGAAAATGCCACTAATTTTGAAAAAAAAAAAAAAAAAAAAAGTAGTACAGTAGTAATAGTAGTATAGTATAGTAATCTAATAATAAAAAGATACTCACTTTGAGATCTTACCACAGAGGTCACACTTGTATTCCTTGAGCGATATCTCGTGCGTCGTGTAGTAATGCTGCTGCATTACTTTCAGATCCATCGTGCGCTTATTGCATATACTGCATTCGTATCTGTAGAGAAGTTGAAGGTAGTTCAATACAGACTAATAGCTAGTGAACGCCAGACCTACGTCATTTTATAAAAGCTCAAAGTTTGTCAGCGTATGCTCCCAATATTGGATATAATGTTGGTGAATTATGAAGTTTGGGTCATCGTGGCTTTGGGAGCTACCCTAAAAAACTGTCTGGCAAGGAGTTGGAACTGTCAAAACTGTCTGGGTGTTGGGGAAAATACTTCTAATTATTGCCCAAATGTAATGTAAGACTTACTTTTACGGTGGCTTTTTCTGTATATTCAATATACTGTAATTCAACTAACGTTATACCATGAAATCAGATTTTTATGTATAGTATTTGGGCAATAAATAGTACTAATAGGCCAGGTTTTCACCATGGCGGAACGGGGCGGAGAGAATTATTTGAATAACCAATCGTATTTCATTATTTCCACATTTCTTCTCCGCTCCGCTTCGGTGGAAATCGAGCGGAGAAGAGAAGTGAAGTGTCTAAATAACTCAAAGGTGACTTACATAATGATCTACGCACAGCCCAAACCACTGGACTGATGGGGCTGAAATTTGGCATGCAGGTAGATGTTATGACGTAGGCATCCACTAAGAAAGGATTTTACGAAACTCCACCCCTAAGGGGTAAACACCGCGTACGAAGTCGAGTGCGGCCGCTAGTTTTTCTATAGAATTTGACAACGGTGCGGTGTTTCATAGACAGCAATAGATAGACAACTGACAGCTACGCACAGCTCACACGACTCGTCTCCTCTCCGCTCCGCTTTGATGGAAACCGGGCCTTACGGGCATTCACAAACATTACTATGAGGTCTCACAGTGCGCGTGGGCACAGGGTGACACACGAACCAATCACAGAGCTCTATTCAACGCTGTGCGTTCCATTTGCTGCTTCACTTAAGCAAGCATCGTTTGTGAATACGGGTGTCAGTCTATCGTCTCCATAAGTTTGGCGTGGTCTTTAAGAGACACCCTGTATACATTAGGTACATACCTTCTTAAATGCCTCTTGTAGTGCGCTGTGAAGGAATCGACGGACGATATTATTGTCTTGCATATCGGGCAGATGTAGTTGCCTAATTCCTGGAGCAAATAACAACAGATTTTTTTAGCATTCAGAATAGAATAGAAAGTATTTATTTGTCTTAGAACAGGTTTCTGTACGGTGTACATATTGTATTACACTCAAATCATTCCGTCAGCAATAGGCAATAGTTTCCAAATAAAATTTTTTTAGTCCGTCTTGTTTAATATCAAAAAATATTGGATACGTATATTTTTATTTGTCAATCTAACAAATATTTACATAGTTATGGTGCGTTAAAGTTCCGCGCGACGTCACAAAGTGCGGCACTTTTAAGCACTCATTGACGTCACGGGCCTCTTCTTTTGAACATTGGCGCGCTTTATCTCTTTAAATTTTATTTAGTTTGAAAAAGTGAAAAATACGTGTAGAGTATTTGTTGATAAGTTAACTGACGGACTAATTAAAACTTCTGCTTTTTGACCCAGGAAACATCCCTATTCCGCCGTTTGTACGTTCTAATTCCGTTCAATAAATCAGTGCTTTAATCGCATTCATAGCAATCACACGTCATTCTTAGCATTAGCATAACATTGTAATTTACGACATCTTCTATCTATATTAATAATTTCGTCAAGGGGTACGGTAGACTGGATCGAAACCTTATATGAATAACAAAGCATAAAAAAATATCGATTTTGAGTCGACAACATATATCCGCAAAATTCGGATAATGGAGAATTTCGTTAAATTCCGATGGCACTGACAAACAATTTCAAACAAACCGCTGTCGCCATCTTTAGTAGTTCACTATCCACTCACTATGCGATCAGCGCCAAAACCTTACTACCTCTTTGCTGGGTTGTCATCGATCCATAAATAAATGGAGATCAGTGCGTTTCGCCACGGGTTTCGCGATTTTTATGATATAGTTCCAAAATACTGGACTGTCCTGTCGATGACATTGACAGTGGGGCGCCACCGTCAATACCGGATCGCTGGTTCAGATTTTTGCCATGTTGGAAACCATATAGTTGAACGATGGTAGCGCCCCCCTGTCATTGAGTTTGGCGGGACAGTTCAGCGTGGGTCATCTATACACTCTTTGTTATGTGTTTTTTCTTTTAACCTTATATTGGCCGATTCAACCACAGAAAAAGAATATTAGCCACAACCATAAAAGTTGAAGTTCAAATGTCAATGTCATTTAGTTTCGCACAGTGAGAAATTCCAGTGACATGCAATTTTTGTAATGGCAAAATATTTGTAAGAAACTGCAAACAAATTCAAATGTGCAGTCGATATGTGGAATGCGACAACATTATACTCGGTAAGCGGCTTAATATTTTTTTTTGGATAAAAATGGGAGCACCAAAAATAATTCTGAAATTAATTCAAGGGTATCGCATACCATTCCTTCAAAAGCCTCCGCTTGTTTATCCAAGTATGACGAAAAGTCCATTCGAAACACCTGTGTCAGTAGAAATGTCGGACATCATAAACAAAATGAAAACACAGGGCATTTTAAAAGTAGTGCATCGCACACCAAGTTTTGTTTCTCCTCTCTTCCTTGTACCGAAACCAGACGGATCTGCTCGGCCAATTTTCAATCTCAAAGCTCTAAATCAATATGTGATAACCGAACCATTCCGGTTGATAAACATGTACCGCATTCCAAATCTTCTTCAGCCAAGGGACTGGATGTGCAAAGTCGATTTATCTCAAGCTTACTTCCATCTGAAAATAGCCAACGCTCACAGGCGGTTCCTACGCATCATATACAACCAAGAATTGTTAGAAATGACGTGTCTCCCATTCGGCTTAAGCACAGCTCCCAAAACCTTTTCCATTTTGACCAATTGGATTGCCCAAGTACTAAGAGACCGCTGGAATATAAGAATTGTAGTTTATTTAGACGACTTCCTAATAGTACATCAAAATGCAAATACATTACGCACTCATGTAAAACTTGTGGTACAAACATTACAAAATCTGGGATGGCAAGTAAACTTCGAGAAATCTGTACTTTGTCCCCAACAGAATATAACTTATCTAGGAATTGTGTGGCAAACCTGGGACAATCTAAAATCCTTGCCAGAGACAAAGACCACCAACATAATCAAAAAATCGAATCAGATTCTCTCTCAAAGAGAGGTGTCTCTAAAAGAACTACAAAGCCTAATAGGATTACTAAATTTTGCAAGCTTTGTAATTCCAAGGGGTCGACTCCACTATCGTCAACTTCTAATGTTCATGAACTCATTACCAGATCTTCCATCGATCAAGTATCAACTACCAGAAAGTACCTTACACGAGTTAACCTGGTGGATTCAGAATTGTCACTCGTCAACACCGCTGCATTACCCTCCACCAACGACGTTTTTGGCCACAGATGCATCGAATCTAGCTTGGGGAGCACAGATAAACAATGTGGCCCTGTCAGGAAATTGGTCTCAAGAGGAACTAATACTCCATTCCAATCAAAAAGAGATGCTGGCCATATTATATGCACTTCAGAGTCAAATTCATTCACTAAGTTGCACGTCGATCCTCATTCAATGCGACAACAGAACAGCAGTAGCCCATCTACGGAGGGAAGGCGGGACGAAATCAGTGGCACTATTAGAAATAACGTACAAAATTTTGAATTTATTAGACAAACACCAAGTACACTTCGATATACATCATATCCCAGGCAAATACAACAGCCATGCAGACCATCTGTCACGTCACCGACAACCACCGGAGTGGCATCTTCTCCCAGGTTGCTTGGAAAGAGTGTTTTCCAAATGGGGGATTCCAATGATAGACCTGTTCGCGTCAGCCACGGCTCATGTAGTCCACAATTATGTGTCCCGAGACCTGAAAGACCCTCAAGCCCTGTTTCACGACGCCTTCAGCAATCTATGGCACTACCCTCTGGCTTGGGTATTTCCACCTCCATTCCTGATCCCCAAAGTCCTGATGCACTTGAATCAGTCGACAGGAATATTTCTAATGGTAGTTCCACGGTGGGAGAAGGTTTTCTGGCGCGCAGACCTGAAAACCAGAGCACTTGCACCACCACTAACCCTGAAACACCTGCAGAAATATCTAGTGGACACGACAACAGTGTTTGGTGTATGAATCAAGGAAAAACTAAAATATTTGGGGGCACGGTAGTGCAACCGCCAAGTCGAGTAAAATTTTTCAATTTCGGTCCAGTTTTCTAGATACATAACTGCTGTCTACAAAATACAAAAAGAAATGAGATCCCATCAAAAACAATACTTGTCAAAAAAACCAAGTCTCGCAACTCAGTTGTTCTACGGTAAAAAGTTGTGAGATCCATGTAATACCAAGTCCTGAGCCCCGATTACGGTAACTCTTATAACGTCTACAATCCAGACGCGTTTCTGATTCTGCGATACGATTGGTCAAAACAGCTGACGTACGCTGTTGAACGACCAATCGTATCGCAGAATCGAGAAGCGTGTCTGGATTGTTGACGTTAAAAGTTACTGTAATCGGGGCTCAGGCCAGGAAATCTTTAACGTTTTACATAAATATATTGACTTGGCCATCGCATGAAAACACGCCAAGTCAATAATTTATGTAAAACGTTAAAGATTTCCTGGCCTGGACTTGGTATTACATGGATCTCACAACTTTTTACCGTAGAACAACTGAGTTGCGAGACTTGGTTTTTTTGACAAGTATTGTTTTTGATGGGATTATTATTTCTTTATAATAAAATAAGTGAGTTTTGTATAATGTTTCAACTGAAAGCATACAACTGATTGATATACAATTTTATTGTTGTTGACTTGTTGTACCTAATGTTTATAAAGATCAAGACCTTTAATACTTCATTGATAACGGAGAGTAACACCACGTAACACCAAGAGTGCAATATCGACTATCGATCTTTATAAACTTTTCCTCGCGAGGGTCACGCTCACGTCACTATTTCTCTTACTTCCGTTTCCGATCTTTCTTGATTTTTTTGACGGCCATCAGCCATGTTTATTTTCTTAGATCTTTAATTAATGGCCGGCCGGTGGCGTCTTCTGTGAATTTGTTTGTAGGGCTTCTATTATTGATAATTTGCAATCAAACTGTGTTAAAAACTCATGAGAAGTTTAGTTTGCATTACATTTGATCAAAACATGTGTAAATAATATTCTACTAACTTGGAGCCCATTCTGACCCGAGGACTGCCTACGAAATGTGCTTTTATAAATCTCGTAAGTTTCTTGTTTATTTGATTTATTTTAACACAGATTAATGATATTAAATACTTACTAGATTCTCTAAAAGCTGAAGTAATTTTAATAAGTTAATATCTAAAATTTCCAATTTCTATTGGATGGCGGCCATATTGCCAGCGCTCCATGCCGGCGCTATTCTAATTCATTTTCAAGTTTAGCTAAAACGTAGTAGTAAAGTTTGTGAAACCTAAACAAAGTTATTCTGATAAAGTAAATAATCCAATCGTTTTTGTGATTACAGGGTCCGTGGCGTGGGGTCAACACTTCAGTGAGTTCTCCAAGCTCGGCTTCGTTGCGTTGGTTCGCCATTTTGAAAATGTTCTCGGCGTCGCGTCGCCATGGCAGGATTTGAAAAGGTACCTACATCTTCATCCTCTGAAAAGTAAGTTCTGACGAATTCATCGGATCTTTTTCTTACTAACAATTTCTATTGGTACACTTCACCATCTCTGTGTAAAGTTCCAATTAGATTAGTACTTCTTGATTACCACCACTTGGCAAGTAAGTAAAATATTAGCATTATTCAGAAATGGTGCAATTAAATAAATTGCCACTCATGACTTTATGCACCGAATAGCCTACTTGAGACTACTTGGGAGAAGGTGAATGTACCTTTAACCCTTATAATTTTGTAAGTACTGAAGCGGCAGGCCAGCCAAGTACCCAACTGTTGGTTTATGCTTGCGCTGCATCCCAATTTTTCAACTAAATCAAATCGGTTCAAGTGTAATTGATACATAACTGCCCAGCCTAGTACATGATTGTATCCTTCAAATCCATTCAATTTGGTTTGCTAAACTTCTACTTCTTTCCAATTACTTTTTAAGTACCACTTGCCTACCTGTTGTACCAACTGTCTAGATAGTAAATGTATGGAACATGTCGTTTACTTTCACCTT